TAGCATAAGAATTCAAGGAGAATCTGCATCGGCTTATAATGAAGCTGCCAGGACGTTTTCTGAAAAATTTCAAAATATTATAGAATAACAAGTTTACGCAGCAATTCAAGTTTTCGATGCCGATAAAACTGGGTTTTGGTGGAACAAATATGCCTAGTAGAACCTTTATATCGAAAAAAGGAAAAAACTGCATCCTGATTTAAGGTGTCTAAAAATTGTCTAACGCTATTTTTGTGCAGTATGATTTTGGACTTTATGACAAAACCTTTGTTAGTTTATAGATCTTTAAATCCACGTGCACTGAAGAGCGAAAATAAGAACATTTTACCGGTATATTCGAAAGCAAATCCAAGAGCTTGGGTAGCTGGGAATGTGTTTAAAGATTGGTTTTTAAATTGTTTTGTGCCAGACACTGAACGTTATTTAAGGCAGAAAAATTTGAGCTTCAAGGCTCTTATTACTATTAAATGATGCTCCATGTCACCCACAAGATTTGAATCATCCCAATATCAAAATACTGTTCTTACCACCTAACACTACTTCGTTACTCCACCCATTGGATCCAGGTATTATTTATACCTTTAAAACATATTACATAAGAAGAGCATTACAGTAGATTTTAGACATAACCGATTCAAAATCGATTAATGTAATGGAAGCTTGGATGACATTTTCAATCAAGAACTGAATCGACATCGTATTTTTTGTCGCTGAAAGAACTGAAACCATCAACGTTAAATGCATGTTAGAAGAAGGTATGACGTCATACCTAGGGTACCCTCTTCAGTTGAATTAGGAAACAAGCCTGAATCGTCAGAAAATGAAATTGGTGGCATATTAGAACTTGCTAAACCAATGGGAGGCAAAGGTTTTGTGAACATGACTGTTGAGAACGTTTAAGATTTATTAGCGGAAGAAGAAATTGACGAAGATTTGATATAAATGGCATCCGAAGCTGTAAATTAAATCGATTCTGAGGACACTACCACTGCTGAAGATTGTAAAGTTAATAATTTAGCATTAAAAAAATTAAAAGAAGGTCTAGGCTTGGCTGGAAATCTAGAGGTAATTTTCTTGAGTGCAGACCCTTCCGCTGAAATAAGCCGAAAATTGAAAAGGTAGCTGCAAAACTCTCTAGCTCTATATCGAGAAATTTAAAATGACCCGGTAGGAATTAGTATTAAGCAAAGTAAAATTACAAATTTTTTTGAAGAGGGAAGAACTTTAAATGAACTTGAAATAAATGCCAGAACTTTAAATGAAGAAAGAAATTCTGAAAGTGAAAGCGATCTCATTCCACCGAAAAACGTTCTCTGTTGATTTATATTAAAAACAATGAAGAATTTTTTTAAACTAAAGTTGCATTAAATTAAAATGTGTAATAGTTTTTGTTTTGTTTTGTACACACACATATATTTTTAATAAAAATTAAGTTGATTATGTATAATTTAAAAAATATTTGTTTTTAATAAGTTTTCGGAATGTAACCCCCCCCTTTTTTATACTGCCTCTGGGTCTCGTTCAACACGGTTTCACACAGCACGGAATTTTCTAGGAATCTATCTACCCTGTTATACGAGGGTTACTTGTATTTATAAACTTTTGGTGCGGCCGATCGCAAGTAAAATAGGAGGTGCACATCTGCATATTATAGTAGTCCTATATACAAAATGTCAACGTTCTGAGGCTACTCGTTTTTGATTTATGCGCGTTTCAGAACTCATTTTAAATCAGTTTTACAATTTTCATTTGGGGGGGGGGTCCTTTATTCTGTTTACGTACAGATGTCCAGGGCCGTACCTAAAGTTTCCAGTGCCCGGGAACAACTGAAGAATTTACGCCTCTTTCTGTGTGCCAAGAATGGAAAACATTTCATTAAAAAATTTCATAGTATCAATTTGGCGCCCCTTGTATGGTGCGCCCGGGGACAGACGTCCCTCTTTGCCCCAACCCTAGCTACGCCACTGCAGATGTCACTCAAAAACATTGTTAAATTGCATTCGATAGCGGTGCGGTCAAAATGGACATTTTCGTTGAAATATGATACCTGAAATTTTTCGCGATTACAATACTTCCTTTTTACTTCGTACAAGGAAGTAAAAAGGTTAATTTATTAATGACCTTTGTTAATTGACTACATAAATTTTGAATTCTTAAGTTGCATTAATTTTCTACTCATTTCCAATTTTTGAATGCTTGAATTTCCTTCTTATTTTTTCAGCAAAAATTTATAATTTCGTTCAAAAATGTGAAGTACAGAAGTAAAAGAATCCCTGTTTCCTTCCTGTGCTCAAAATCTTTACACGAACACGCATTTACAACTTTCAAAACCTGAAAACGCACGCTTGTGATGTTGTCGTCATGCGATGATTTGTAAGTACTTTAATTTTGACGACGATGTTTTTAAACTGCGAATTTTTTGAACCGCTTTATTTTCTACTTTGATATTTTGTACCATGATGTTTTTTAGAACAGCGGTGGTTTTTCTTTGCTTTCTTTTCTCCCACGATGTTTCGTACCACGAGGTTTTCGCCTTGCGTTATTTTCTCCGCGACATTTCCGTTCGCGACGTTCTCGGCGGACACCCATTTCATGATGTCGAAATTTTTTTAATTTTAAAGAATTTTGATGGGCCATTTGTCAGCATTTATTCCAAACTTTGTAATTTTATATTCCACCCCCCCATACTTAGTATTAACACCAGAACTATGACGTAACTCCCAATATAGGAGATTAACATGTTCTGCTGAGTGCTAAAACTGTCTGTGCTGTTTACGTAATGAAACTTGCTTTTAATATAATTTTACGAACTTTGCCCAGTGCTCTTTTTGAACTCTCAATGACTGAAAATGACTTGTCATCTCAATCAATCAGAGCACTGCTCTGCATGAACTCATTAGTTTATCTTCAACTCATATATTTATGCACTTACTCTATTTTAGAATTTAAATACTTTTGTTATAGAGTTGATCAAATTTTTCTGAATATTTTGATGGTCATTTGTCCCACTTTATACTCAATTTACTTGCTACATAACATTTCCTCTACCTTATACTTTCTGCACCAATGGTGACATCATGTGTGTCACCGGCACACTTAACGTGTAGTGTAATTGTTTTATTGCAAATTGCTTGTATATATTTTTCTTGTATGCACTCATAACCATGGCATATTTTTGTACATATCTTATGTTCTTGTATCATCTTAATGTGCCATTGTAAACCAACACATGATGAAATGCTATAATTCCTTAGACTGCGATGCATAGGTCCTCTTCTGCACCTTCAACGTCTCTCTCCTTGGAGAACCATAATCCAGAATTTACACCGTCGTGAGCCCTTGAGGAACCATATCAACTGAGACGGAACACGTCACACCATCTACGTGATATTTTCAGCTTATAGTGGAACTTCGAAAACTGCTTTCCAGTCTTGCAGATTTCTTTGTTCCTGATGACGAGGGATCCGTACCTATTTGTTCTCGAAATCGAGGACAATCGATTGAGTTCTGAATCGAGGACATTCGATTGAAATCGATTGAGCTCTTGACTAGATCTATGTCCAACACAAGGTTGTTACTTTGCTGTTTGAAGAACTTTTGAAAGATCTAATTAAAAAGATGTTTGCATTTTTAATTTAATAAAAGAAATCAGCGATTTAAAACAAATGTGTTCGTACTGCTCGATATAAAATATTTTTATCTTCCACGCGCCAGTTTGTTGCCCTTTAGCGAAGCATAAGGTATTTAATTTTCCTTTCAAATTTAATGTGTCTCTTATTAATCAACAAATTAAGCGATATAAAAGCAGTAAATGCAGTTCTTTACCTCTGCTATTAGGAATTACCAGCTGGATCAGTGAAATTACATTAGCTAGACTCATCAAAAGCTTTGCTTTTTTTTTTTTTTTTTTTTTTCGTTTTTATTGTAACCATTTTAGGTGGTTAACTGCGCCAGCCGTTACTGAAGATCAAAAATTACCTCTTCACTACATAACCAAATTTTATTTTGTAGTTATAGTGTTTAATATATGGCGCAATAAGGCATCTTTATTGTTAATTACATTAATGCTTGCAAAAAAATCCCCAAGTAAATAGGATATGTAATAGCGATATAATATTATAAACAATATTTTACAGTACTTTACTGTTTACGCTTATTATTCATGCCATTAAGAAGTATATTCTTTTTAAGTAGTTCATTCTTTTATTTCGGTTTTAACGCTGAAATGTACTTCTTTCTTTTCTTTTCGACAATAGATGATCAAACAATGGAATCTTTATTTTTTTTAATAGCTAGTTCACTGTACCTTTAAAATATGTTGGGGAGGGAGGAAGGAGACCTTTTGCTTTAAAGCATATCTTTTGAAAGATAAAAAAAAAAAATTGATAGAAAGCATTAACTACTGTTTTTCCCATCATTTCAACTTGAAGTTTCTTACATATCTCAAAGAATAAAACAATTAATGTTTAAGTGAAACAGATAAAAAGTACACTCTAAAATAAACTATTCCGGAAATATTTTTAATAACTGAAATAGTCATTTTTAGAGGAAGTTTTCAAAATTTTTGGATTGTTACATTCATTAAGCCCCATTAGCACGCATTTGTCATGCACTTAATTATTGTTAATAATTAATTGTTACAAATTAAATATATTTTAATACATTTAAGTTATAATATATATAATAATCATCTTTATAAGCAGCCGCCCTTTTCGGCAATAGTGGTAGGGTAGCCGACTACTACAGCGTTGGGCTCGGGCTCAAAGCCTGGAGAAGGCAGATAGGTATGTATGTAATTCTCTATCCCAGGGGTTCTAAACCAAGGGAATTTCATAGTTTCAGAAGGAAATGCAGTCAACTTTTTATTTACTTGCAAGTATTTAATTTTAGTTTATGGATGTAAAGCACTATTTTTATTTAAGTTTTTGTATTTAACAATATTGCCTATATACTATTTGTTGTTTATAAAACACATTGGAAAATAATCTATCATTTTCAAGTTTTGGAAAGGAGGAGGAGAATGATCTTCTAGCAACAATGAAAGAGTTGCTTGTGGCAAAAGATGTTGACAACCACTGGTCTATCTTCTCTTCTTATGGGTGGCTGGTTACGTGAGTGAGGAAACGGCTAAATGATCGATGGATGATACCATTCCTGAGAAACGCTTAAATTAACAATTGTACGGCAACTGGATTTAAATAAACAATATTTCTTATTTTTATTTAATCCAGTTGTTATTTATCTTATTTTTGTTGTCTTATGTTTATTTAATCCAGTTTCTTATGCTTATTTAATCCACTTAAAAGTAGTGCAGATGCAAAACACTCTTCTAGAATTTACTAAGAGTGCGTAATTTACTATGAGCGCGTTCCTTCATTTGGGGAACGTAAGGGAAAGCAACTAGAGTTCTTTTTTTTTCCTCTCTCCTTTGTGATTTTGCTGATAACTGCGTTTATGATGGGATGATTTTAAACATATTTTTACATGCGTATGTAATGGACTGAATGCACACACAACCGATGATAGCTTGATTAAAGTTCATTTTACCAAAAGAAACACTTTACAGTTCTGGAACTTTCCGCAAAAATATTCGCACAGCTCTTCTCAGTATCACAGAGCACAATTAGTAGTTGAATTTCGAACTACAAAGAACGTTAAACACAATACTATGCACAGCACATCTAAAGAGACACGGGTATATTTTAATACTCCGACGTTGACTCTGAACTTAAAAAAAATGAGAACTAATGCTTCTCCAGACTTGTATAGTTTTACTTCGGCCACCGAGAAATCTCTAGCACCATACATTTCTCGAAATTACTGGAAGGCATATGCGGTTAAAGTTACTTTTAGGGGCTGGATGCGATTACAGCTATATATATAAGTATCAGTTACAGTTATTTAGTTACAATACCAACTTTAGTTACACAAGGATTAGATCAAAATGTCACCAAATAGTCGTCAAGTTTGGAGACTTTTGGCAATTTCTCGCCAAATTTGCAATAAAAATGAGTCGCCAAAACCATTGCCAGTTTATCGATACCTCACCAATTTAGAGTGTTATCTGTGGAGGCCAATTTAGCGAGATAGCTATTTATTCAAGGTTAAATTGACCTGAGCTTTTAATCTTAAGTTTCCAGCAAAGCTTCGCTTCTTCACGTAACAATATGTTTTGTTCTAATTATGTTTTATATTTTTGTGAAGATTATAACGAGCTTGGTTACATTTCGGCGTGCTTGGTGAATTGCTGCTCTTCAACCTCTCTTACGACTTAAAGGAAGAATTAATAAAATGAGTTTCAGTCAATATCATGAATCTTTGATTTCTAGAAGTTCTACTGAATTCTCGTGTCTGTGACGTTATTTTGTTACCTCATATCGGTAGTTTAAAAACACGAAACATTAATCACAATTGTGGAATTCATGAAGCCACAGTCTGAAAAAAAGCAAAAGTTAGAATAATATGGTAACCGTATTAAACTCAACGTCCGAACCTTTTCTTTATTATCTTATCGCAAATTCATAATTATTGAATCTAATTCTTTATTCAAGCGTTTGTCAAATCCCAGGTCGTGATCCTGCACTGGATCACGAAATCAAAAAGGTGGGTCGCAGATAAACTTTATGAAATTACTAGCTTTATATATTCTAGTGATATAAAACAATATTATAGTTTGGTAACAGATAATGTTGAGATTTAGTAATTTAATTCCCTCGTAAACGATGCGTCATGCATTGACAATTAGACGTGATACTGAAACTTATCTCTTATTAATTTATTTTTTAGTTTAGGTCGTGCTTTCGTGTTATTTGTGGAGGCTACGGAAACTTGGTTAGGCTTGACTGGAGTGCGCAGCAGACCCAACCAATGTTTTCGTATGAGAGCGACACCGAGTCTGGACTTGAGCGGGAAAACATCGCTAGAGTCTAATGTAAGGTGACCAGATTTTAACATTGGAAAAGCGGGACACCATTGACCGGGGGGAGGAGATTCTTGATTTAAAATTTGGTCTATATGGAGCAACACAAATTTTCATAGAACGCAAAAATAGTATTGTAATATATATTTTTTAAATTTCAACATAAGTACAATTTACAAATATAATAGACTAAAAAATTGCGTATAGTATTATTTTATTCTTTGGCATATTTCTCATTTGAGTGAATTGTTTAAGTAGATTGCTGTCGTTTTTTTTTTTTTTTTTTTTGACAACTTGTGATGCACAAGATTTGAAGGAATGATTGTGCTTCTTAGCATGAAAAGACCTAAAGTCCTTCCGCTAATGCTAATTTCTTTTCATCGTCTCCATAAATTGTTTTCCGAAAGAATTCCTGCATTTTGGAGGAAGATGCAGTAGTATTTAAATATCTTTTATGTTTCTGTGTCTCCGAGTGCTTTGAAATATCATTCTTCCAGCCGAGCGAAATAGAAAATTCACCATTACATTTCTCACATTTTCCCATGTGATCGCTTTTGTTTTTTTCAACAAAAGTAAATTCACTTCTTAGATCATCTTTGAATCTGCATCGTCTGTTCTTACTCATTATATTAAAAATCTAAAGAAGTAATTTATTATAAATTTATATATTATATTATAAAATTTTATCTATCTTAAAAACACAGTAAGTAGGTGCATAATTACATGAACATATTTTATTGTTAGTTTAAAAATTAAATTAATTTGTTTGTTATAAAGTATAACTAACTATATTTTAAAAATTTTTAAATTTTAATCCTATAATTCTTTCTAAATAATAACAGTATTAACTTGTATTATCTTTCCTCTGAATTTGCCGTAACGTAAGTCGTAAGCGTCACTTTCAAGACCGACGCTAGACCTTTTGCTGCCACTATGAAATATAAGTAATAAGAGTACTGTCTGCTAAATTAAAGAAAATTTATGCGTTTGTGAAGTAAATAAATAAATTACGTACCTAAATTATCTGAATAGCTGATTTGTTGACATCACTTGATTAACTATTACTAGCATGCAGTACGATGTGTATCGTCTGAGAGACAGTTACAAAATGTTTTCGTCAATGCCAATGCCAAAAAATGCCATAACTTTCAGTTCTCGATACAGTTGTCAACAATTATTTGTTATTATTAAAATTTAACATTATAAAATTAACAAAAGGTATATACGACACATATCCTGGCGAAGTAGCCACATGGCCAAGAAAACCGTATTCTCCCACCGTTCCCTAGCTTATCGTACATTCTTTCCAAAAATCAAGACTTTTTTAAAACGTCGCGGGACAAATTGTTAAAAATCGGGACATCTGGTCACCTTAGTCTAATGCCGTATTCCACTCAACTTCTGCTGATGCCGCAGCTTTATTCGTACATTCAGTGATTATTTTTTCGTTATTATTTGAGGTAATGTGTACACTTTTTGCAGTAACAGTGTTTCATAGTTAATTATCGATGAATAAATGGTTAATAAAGTAACAAAAACAATGTGCCGATTATAGTCGATAAACCATCAAATGATGCCCAGAGAGGAACAATTTTTGCTTGTGACACTAGGGCTAGTGTTACACATCCATTTATTTCGGATGAACAACTGTTTCAAACAATTTTTCTAGCTACTTTACCAGTAAAAGAAAGAAACACGATTTTTTCCTTTCTTTCGAAAAAAAAAAAAAAAAAAAATTAAGTTGTTCGCTATCGGCATTCATTTGTAGTAGAGAACTAGTTTCTCTTTTACATGGTAATCCCCAAACGATCCGCGGTGACTAGCTGTTTCATATCGTGAGACAAAGCAGAAAAATTATTCTAAAGAGTTGTTCTTCCAAAATTTTTAAATGTGTGATACGACATTAAAAATAAACAGATAAGTGATGTTCAGTCAAGCACAAATTTCGATAATGGCGCTAACAAACGGCCGCATGATATGTAGTTCATCATAAATACATCCCCCCCCCAAAAAAAATCCTGAATTCGACAGTATTTTGACAATTATATAAAATCTGGTTTCATGAAAGGTGCTGATGAAAAATCGTTGTGAGTTATCTGCTACACGGCCTTATCAAATGAGTTCATGAAAACTAAAAGTGGAAGCTATTATTTGGAATTAAAACATCCAAAATATAATAACAAGATGATAGATTTCTTTATAAATAAGTAGAAAGAATTAGTAGCTAGCAAACGGATTATATCTTCGAATTTTTCCGAGGGAGTTTTGTCTGAAAATCTAATTATGACTTTATTGCGTTTATACACATATTTTATTTTCGTTATTGTACATGCGACTGTTCTAAACTTAAACATTTCGTTCTTACAATTTTTGTACAGCCAAATTCAAATTTTAAATCAAATTCCGCGTGTAGGAAAATCGTGACTAATGTCAAGTGACTGTCTATCGAGATGCTACAGGCTTCTTATGAAATATCCCAATTAATGGCTAAAACTGGACATACTAAGTTGCGGGAAAGTTAATAGTTTCTGCAATGAAAATTTAATCTCCTGTGCATGATAAAAAACACAAAGTCGGATAAGTATGCCATCTTATCTGCAACAACACAAAGAAGCACAGAATTGTGAAAACAGTAGAGAATATCGAAGAAACTATTGCGCTTAAAACAGTGCACTTTTTGTCGATGAAAGTACAGACATATTGGAGAGATACATATTTTGTGAGAAATGATTTTGAAAAATCTATCTAATGAAGAATTTCCGGTTTGCAAACCAATGAATGCAAGAACAACAGCAGAAGGAATTTTTAACTTGATTGATACTTAATCAGTCGAAATGGCACTAACTGGAAGAAATGTATAGTTCTGAGCGGGGATGGTATTCGAGCAATAAAATGCATCGTCCATGTAGGGATTTTTCTAAAAATACAGGCCATTGTACCAGAATGTGTATAGTTGTATTGCAGCACACACAAAGAATCCTCATACTCATAAAAAATAATTTGAAAAAGATCTGGTTTACTATGCTTTAATGGATTCTTTAATATTATCACTGGGAGAATGATTTTCTAGCAATAATTTACCAGCATTTTTTTAACGTTACGGCCTCCTGTGGCTATGTTAGAGATGTCAGTAGAAGATTTTGCCAAAGAAAAGCCGTGCTTTGGTGACTTTTATAATTTGGAAAATGTTGATCATGAGATAGAACTCTATGTTGTAAAGACCTTATTTTATTCTAACCAATTATTTTCAGTTCGACTTTCCTGTTCCTCCTGATTTCAGTTTCCTGTCGGAATGTTAATTTTAATG